GATTTTTTTCTTCACAGATGCTGCCAGACTTGCTGAGTTTTTCCAGCAACTTCTGTTTTTGTTCCGAAGTGTGCTGACCCTGCCTTAGAAACTAATGGAGCATGAATTTAAACTTGTCACCTCAGAACTCGGTGGTATTAGGAGGTTTTCATTTTTGTACAGAATGCTGTGGGGAACCCAGGATGTGTGACCAGGGAAAATGGTTGAAACAAACTAATTTAAGCCTTTAAATGGCGTATTTGCAAATTTAGAAAAAATAATAAATTTAATGCGTAAATTGGGGAAGAATGAGGTAACGGGACCAAGTGAATAACAGTTTTATTAAAGAGCTGACATTGGAGTAATGGGCATCCGAACATTGTAATATAAAATTATGTATTTGTATGATTTAGCTCAAGGTGAAGTTTTTCATTGTTTTAATTACAAGCAGGCAAGATTTCATGATTCACATGAAATTTTCCATTGTAAACTTTTGCTTCATTGCTCAGATGAGATAGCTTGGCCAGATGGAGATGATGCTGTACCACCTGATGCAGAGGACCTCATCTCAAAGCTGCTAAGGCAAAATCCATTGGAACGACTGGGTGCAGGTAATGATTGAGTGTACCTCAGAAAAGTAAATGCTCATGTTAGAGATTCTTGTGGAAATTTACTGAACTTGAATTTTTGAAATAAAGACATATATTTTGTCAAAATGCACATATGACAATATTTTGGAAGATAATGAATTCAAGGGGAAGACCAACATTTATTCTGTATTGGAGGCCATTGTTAATCAGCTGGCAAATAGACTCTGATTGCTAGACACATTGCCATAGAGAATGCATCCATTAACGGTGGTTAACAGTTAACTACTAGGCTTCCTTTAAATTTTAAACCAGCAGATTGACTCTGATTCATCAGGGCATCACCCTGGGAAACGATCAACGAACGGCATGCATTTTGTTGAGTTGAAACCGGCGTAATACATGTACACTTTCTTTCTGTCTGCAAAGAACAATGCCCTGTGCATTAATTAAATATTGCTTTCGTTGCATGCGAATGCACCACCCTGTGAGCCCAAGTGACAATCGTGAACTGGTTGTCTGCATAATTCTTTGCACACTCGGGATTATCCAGCAAATGTTCAATTTCAAAATCACATCTAATATTGGATACTTGTGAAATTTACGACTGCAGCTGGTATAGTCAATATTTTGCTTGTTGCAAACAGCCAGAGGACAATGCTGTTTGATTCAATCCACCAGTCTTTAAGATGTGTGATCTACATACCTAGCATCACACCAGTGCTTCAGTTCATATAACTCAAATACTCATGTACATAGTTCAAAGTCTTAGAGTGTAATCCAACTATTATAGCTAACAGTAACATTGTTTACACTAAAATCTTCCTGTGTTTGTGCATATTAATTGTTACCCTCTCACCATCTCTCTTTTGTCTACTTCCAGTGCCCATATTTCTTATTTTTTATATGAACTTCTTTGAAATCTCAGCATCAACCTTTTATCTAGCTAACAGTGCAGTTTCATAGTGTGAAGAGATCTTACACTAAGAATGGTTAAACTGTGCATGTGCAAGCTAATTGTTCCACTATTGTAATTTTTCTGTAAAGGAATAACTAAATTAACAATTTGAAAATGCTCTCTTTTTCCTTTCATGTTCATATAAGATGAAGGATGGTGGACTTGAATAGACATAGAATTATGTTTTATTCTCCTTAGGCAGTGTGTATGAAGTGAAGCAACATCGGTTTTTCACAGAACTGGACTGGAACAGTCTGCTTCGTCAGAAAGCTGAATTCATTCCTCAGCTTGAGTCAGAAGATGACACCAGTTACTTTGACAGTAGGTAGAGTGCAGAAACGTGGCTTAAGGTTAAAAGATCAATATATATTGTTAATCTAGTTTAGTGCCTTAATTATGATTAATGATGCCTCATGCATTCCAAACTTCAACCAAGTCATCCTCATTTCAGGGCCATTGTAAGACATCAGAGGAAGATTTCATTCTTATTCTTTTAGGTTGGACATGAGATGATCATATTTAAGTTAGTCCTTCTCCAAATCCTCAAACTCACAAAAATCAAACTGAACAAAGCAAAAGGATTAATAGTTACCTTGTCTTCAAAGCCAGATGGCCAGGACTTTGTTTATGTATGGACCTAGCACCATGGGTTAAACAGATTTGTTCCAACCTATTGCACCATTCAGTCAATCTTTAATAAAATATACTGTTGGCAACACTCCCTGCTCGAAATTGTGATGATAACTTTTGGTACTTTGACAGTGTTTGCTTGTTATTTCCTACTAATGTCACTAATATGTAGGTTTGATAGTTTAATGCTTGTTGTCTGTGTATGATTTGATTGATTATTTTCAATAGTACTTAAATAGCTGACTTGTTGCCATTGTAAAGTTTCTTATTGAGATGTGTGTGCAAAAATGGCAATTTAAAACTGTTGAGTTAGAACTCATTTTTGTTCAATACCTTTCTTGTTGTAGCTCGATCTGACAGGTACCATCATCTTGATTCTGATGAAGAAGATGACACTAACGAGGATGACCGGTTAGAACTTAAACAGTTTTCATCATGTTCACCAAGATTCAGCAAAGTAAGTATGATATCAAAAACAAAACGTTACTCAGTTTTCTCTCCACAGATGCTGCGAGACCCGCTGAGTTTCTCTAGCAATTTCTGTTTTTGTTTCAGATTTCCAAAGTCTGCAGTTCTTTGATTGTACAAGTATGATTTCCAGATGGCTTAATGTGAGGGGTACAGTGATTATAATTCAAGAAGTAAATTAATTTGAACATTATTGATGTTGTAAATTTCTGACTTACGAGTAGGAGACTCGGGCTGTCATGCCTGCTGTGCCAGTCAATAACTTGATGGTTGATCTGAATACTCCACCTTCCCACCTACCCCCAACAATCTAATATGGTCCAAGTAGTAACCAGAGACTTTGTGGAGAGACATTAAAATAGAGAGATATGAGAGATGTTTAATAGTCCATGGAAAAGAATATCTTCGCTGTTGAAATCCCCTAAATACTCTTGAAATAATACCTGTTTTTCAGTACCAAAAGGGAGAAAGAATTGTACTCTGACTTCTATGACAGGATCCAGGTAACACAAGATCATTAGGATGTGAGATTATTTGTGAATTTCAACCTTCACTGTAGATTACAGGGATGATTAATGTGGAGCTAAGTGACTTGTCATGATGAGTAGTCATTGTGACTAACTTGTAAATGGGGTGATAATTATAGTTTTATCGTGTTGAATAGTTGAGCAATTTGATACTGTACATCCATGTGGCGCTATTATTGTCTGTTTTTCTATTCACTAATGGAGTTTGAGATCATTGTCAAGACCAGCATTTGTTACCCGTTCCTACTTGTCCTTGCGAAGTTGCCGCCTTGAACCACTACAGCCTGTCAGAATTCCAGGATTTTGACTCAGCAGTGATAAAAGAACAAAGATATATTTCTATGTCAGGATGGTGAATTGATAAGTGGGAAACTTGAAGGTGGTGGTATTCCCATTCACCTGCTCCCCTCATTCTTTTAGATAGCAAAGAGGTGTGGCTTTGAAAGGTGCTGTTGTCAAAGAAGAATTGGCACATTGCTGCATTGATACTAAAGACACAATGCACCAGAGATAGAGGAATGAATGTTTAAGGTGGTGGATTAGGCACCGACCTAGTTTCACTGCTTTGTCCTGGATGATATCAATCTTCTTGTGTGTTGTTGGAGCTGCATTCATCCAGCCAAGTGGGAATGCGCCCGTCACACTTTTCTATCTGTAAATGATGGAAAGGCTTTGTAGAGGTCATGAGGTGAGACCATCAGGCTGTTGATAGTGGAAGATTCAGCAATCCTATTGATTGTGAAGGGGAGGTGATTAGACTGTTCGTGAACAGGGTCATTACTTGGCACTAAACAACGCATGCCTGAATGTTGCCTGGCTCTTGCTGCATGCAGGCATGGATTACTTTAATATTTGAGGAGTCATGAATAATACTTGAGCAATGTGTAATCCAGCAAATATCTTCAAATTTGACTTAATGATGGAGGAAATATTAGTGATGAAACAGCCAAGAGATGGCTGGATACAGGAAATGATGCTGAAGAGCTCGTGAAGCATATGAAGATGAAGATAAGTAGCCTTCAACAATCAGGTGAAAATTGTTGTAAAAAATCAAATTTCAGGAATCTTTTCCTTTAGTCCTTGTTATTGAGTTTCTGCAATTTTAATGCAAAGCTGCAAGCTACTGTTAGGGCCTACAGAAACTAATAAATACCTCCACCCTTTAGGTTTACAGTAGCATGGAACGGCTGTCCCTACATGAAGAAAGGAAAACACCACCCCCAAACAAACGCAGCTTCAGTGAGGAGAAAGAAGATCGAATTGATAAGTTGGATGGCCTTGGTACTCTGAAGACCCGAGATAGGAGCTGGATAATTGGATCACCCGAAATGTGAGTTAACTGTCTACTTTCAAATCAAGAGAGCAAGTAAAACTCTTGAGTGATGTACTATCTTCTTTATGACACAGGTACCCTGTAAGAATTTTGTAAATTTCCATGTGATCAGCTCTCATTCTTTGAAACTCTAGAGAAAGTAGACTCAGTTTCCTCAGCCTTACCTCATAAGACAATTCTACCATGAAGCCCTGAATCTCCATTCTACTCCTTCTAAAACCTTGGATAAAGAGACAGAACTGTACACAATACTCCAGACAGGTGTAGTTTCACAATACGATTGCAGTACTTGTGATGGAGGCCCACATAACATTTGTTTTTTGTATTTATTGTTGCATCTGCTTGCAAACTTTCAGTGAGTCATGAACAAGGACGTCAGACCCTTTAGGACATCAGACTCATCATTTAAGAAATATAACTCTCAAACCTCCCGCCATTTAAGAAGTATTCTGCTTTTTAGTTTCTCTTCCAAAATGGTTAACTTCATACTTATTCACATTTCTGTTTCATTGGCCATATTCTTGCCTATTCACATAGCCTCTGCAAGTCTGTTTGAAGCCTCCTTGCATCTTCCACTCAACCTACATTCCACCTAGCTCTGTGTCATCTGAAATCTGAAAATATTACAATTGATTCCACATCATTTATATAAAAGTGTAAATAGTTATGGCCAAGCAGAGATTCTTATAGAACCTCACGAGTAACAGCCGTGCCATCCTGAAAATGACCCATTTAGGTTTACTTTTTGCTTTCTGTCTGTGAACCAGTTCTTGATCCCTGCTAATATATTACCTCCATGCACTCTTAATTTTGTTTACAGACTTCTCGTGTGGGAGCTTATGAAAGGTTTTCTGAAAATACAAAAAAATCACAATGTTGGTTCTCCTTTATCTATGCTACAAGTAACTTTCCCAAAATAATACTCGCAATGATTTTGTCAAATGTGAATTCCTTTAATAAATCCATGTTGACTGTATCCAGTTTTTTCAAAATTTTCCTAAGTGTCCAGCTATTATTCTAACATCTTTCCTACAACCGATGTCAAAGTTACAGGTATATTGGTCTCCATTATCCCTCCCTTCTTAAACAGTAGGACTACATTTGCTTCTTTCCAGGCTATAGGAGCCTTTCTGAAATTTCATAGAATAGAATAATAGAATTTTACAGTCTAGAAGGAGGCATATGACCCATTATGCCTGTACCAATTCCTGAAAGAGCTACCCAACTAGACCCACTCTCCAGCCTACCTCCGTAGCCCTCTAACCTCTTGAAAGAGCAACACCAACACATCCACTGTATCGATAGCTACCACCTTCGACTCTCTGGGGTAAAGCTGATCTGGTCAGGATATTTACCAATATTCGATCCAGCTAATGTTTCAAAAAATAACTGTGTACTAATAATTTCTTTTACTTCCTCCATTTTAAAAGTCTCTTGTTACCTTGTATTTTGAGAAGATGTTCTGTGTTATCCACTGTGAAGGCAACTGCACAAGCCACTGTTTAGTTTCTACCATTTCCTAGTTCTCTACTACAAATTCTCCTGTCTACTTTTGTAATGGGCCTACTTATATGTCAGATCATCTTCTGCTAGTTCTACATGTTCCTAATCTTCAGAGGCTTTCCACTTGCTTTAATCTAATGCAGTTTTTAAATTATTTTGTTAACCATAGTTGATTCACTTTTCCTTTTGGATGTTTGTGCCTTAAACAACTATATGTCTGTGGTAGGCCATTTTATAAAATACTGGCTATTACTTGTCTACAGTCAAATCTTTTAGTCAACTTGCCCCTCACATTTAATGTGAAATTCTATCATATTTGTACTTACCCTTTCATTACTTTGAGGAAGTGTCAGAACTGATGGAAGAATGGACCAGGTGTCATGGATGAAATGTTCCCTGTGGAATGCTGTTGGTTGAGGGGAGGGGAAGATATGTTTGCTGGTGTGTTCCACATACTCCATAATCCTCTTCCTTGTTTTTCTTCCCCTATCTTTTTACTTCCTTGTACCAATCACTGTTGCTTTGCTGATAGAGTGGATATATAATAACCTGCATCTTTTATACTTTACCCTATCTCTTAAGCAGACACTCTATTCTCTATTCTCTAAGAATAAGTGCCAAAAATATGCCTATCTCCAAATGACTTTGTTCCTGTTTTCTTTTCCAGCAGGTAATTTCTAATCTCCAAACTGACTTTCATGTTAAACGTTTCCATTTAGATCACTCCCTCTATCCAAAGCTAGTCAATTATTCCAGTTTTGTTTAAATTCTGATATACTGTCTCCAACCCACATTCTTCATCATGAAAATAGGAAACTGGCAGTCTTCCCCCACCTTCTCCCCTCTCACTCTCCTATCTGTCTTTTTCTCCACCTATCTATTTCTCCATCTGTCTATCTCGCTATCTCAATCTCTCTGTCTTTCTGTCTCTCTATTTCAATTTCTCTGTCTCTCTTTCACCCATTTCTCTGTGAAATTCGGAGAAATCAAGAAAATCCTGTAAGTTGTTACTACAGTGGCTTGCTATGAAACTCTTGAAAGTTTGTCTCTATGGCAGTAAGAAGCACATGGGGTTCATATCCAGGTAGAAATGCTAATTAGCTACCCTCTGGATGCCCAATACCATTCTACTCTGGAATTAAATAAACAGTATAAAGTATAACTGTTTATAAAACCTGACATTGCTAACATTTCCCATTGAGACTTGGAGCCTAAAGGTTTATCCACTATCAGTAAAGCTGCCAAGATATTTGTGGGTGTTAACATTTTGTGCCCTCTTCCAAGTAAGACAACCTGGGAGCCTGTTTAACCTTTAACAACTAAGCCACCCAAGTTTATTGTCAGACAGAATTCAGAGAGAGGTTACACGACTCTCTTTCATTCTTCATTGTAACCTAAATTAAAGATCTAGTCCCAAATATAATAATCTCATAAACCTAATACTGCTAACACCATATTCATATAAAAAGTATTTTACCTTTGGATCATTTTATTTCATAGTTGATGTACATCAAAGGTGCTGATGAATTCTCAAACTTTTAAATCTGATTTTTAAAGGGAAAGAACTCAGCTTCTCTCTTTTTTTAATTTTTGCAATCACATGGATAAACTGGTTTCATCGAGTCATGGAGCACAGAAACAGACCCTTCGGTCCAACCAGTCCATGCCGAATATAATCCCAAACTAGACTAGTCCCACCTGCCTGCTCCTGGCCCATATCCTTCTAAACCTTTCCTACTGGTGTACGTATCCAAATGTCCTTTAAACATTGTAATTGTACCCACATCCACCACTTCCTTAGGAAGCTCATTCCACACGTGAACCACCCTCTCTGTAAAAAATTTGCCTCTCATGTTTATTTTGAATCTCTCTCCTCTCACCCCTAAAGTGTGCCCTCTAGTCTTGGAATCCCCCATCCTAGGGAAAAGACAATTGCCATTAACTCTACCTATACCTCTCATTATTTTATAAAATTCTATCAGGTTGCCTCTCAATCTCCTATGCTCTGGTGAAAAAATTCCCAGCCTATCCAACTTTTTTTTTAAACTCAAACCTTTTATACCCAACAATATCCTGGTAAATCTCTTCCTAGTAAACCTTTCTAGCTTAATAATATCCTTCCTATAACTGGGTGACCAGAATTGGACACAGTATTTCAGAAGAGGCCTCACCAATGTCCTGTGCAACCTCAACATGACTCTCCAATTCCTATACCCAAAGGTCTATATACCTTTTTAACTACTCTGTTTATATGTGATGCAAACTTCAAATAATTATGTACCTGCACCCTTAGGTCCCTCTGTTCTACAACACTATCCAAGGCCCTACCTTTAATTGTATAAGCCCTACCCTTGTTTGTTGTACCAGAATGCAATACCATGCATTTATCCAGGTGAACTCCATCTGCCATTTTTCAACCCATTGACCCCTTTGTAATCTTAGAAAACGGTCTTCATTGTCTACGATGCCACCAATTTTAGTGTCATCCGCAAACTTGCTAACCATACCTTCTATATTCTCATCCATACTGTTTATGTAAATGATGAACAAAAGAGGATCCAGAACCAATCCCTGCGGAACACCGCTGGTGACAGGCTTCCAGTCTGAAAAGCAACCCTCCACCACCACTCTCTGTCTCTGGTTACAAAATACAAAATATAGACTCTGGTGAGATCGTTGACTTGCTCACCGAGCTGGCTTGTTCTTGTTCAGATGTTTCATCACCATGCTAGGTGACATCATCAGTGGAACCTCTGACGAAGCGATGTTATTCTACTCTGCTTGGAATCGCTTCATTGTAGGCTCCACTAATGATGTCACCTAGCATGGTGGTGAAACGTTTGAACAAAAACAAACCAGCTTGGCGAGCAAGTCAACAATCTCACCCTCAACCCGAGCTACAAATCTTTGCTAAAACTTTGAATGTCAGTCATAACGACTTAGAGAAGGGTGCTCTCCAGCATAAACTTGAAATAGACTCTGGTGTCAGGAAATGTGACCATTGGTTTCTTTGACAAGGTGTACAAATGTTAGTACCATTCGCTTTACAACTCTCATTTGGGTACATCTCTTTAAGACCCCTAAGGAGATACGTGTACAATCTTTGAAGGTTATTAAGCTGCAAAAGTGTAAACTCTTCCGTGTAAATAGATATACATTCTGAGTAGCAGAAGGCAAGGGCTAGAGTTTATGCTGGAGAGCACTCTTCTGTAAGTGGTTATGACTGATATGCCACTACATTACAGCCCAAATGATTTTGACAGTCACATGTAACAATGCATAAGAAAATTTGTTTATCTGATTTTGTGACTTATTTATCTTTTGTTGTTCATGTTTCTTCAGTATCCGAAAGCGCATGTCATTGTCAGAATCGTCACACACTGAAAGTGACTCTAGTCCTCCACTAACAGTCAGGCGCCGTTGTTCAACGTTAATAGAGATGCCACGCTTTGCTATCTCTGGAGAAGATGAGGGAAAGAAGCAGCAAGTAACTAGAACATGGGAAGACGTGTCCTTAACTATACCAGAACAACCCGCAGAGAAAGACCTCACATTGGAAGTGGATGTTAGTCCTGCCACACCAGCTTCGACAATTAGTAACATAAGCAGCTCAACTTTAACTGGTAATATACTCCTGTCAAAAAAGCTTGTAGAGAACTGCAGATCAGAAAATAAACTATTTTTAAGGTGTTTTGCCATAGCTGTAGATAACATTGTAAAAACAGTATTAAATGCCCATTTGCAGGTTCAATTAAGGCATTGTGAGTCAATTAAGTGAAACTGGGTTATAGGTAGCCAGACCAGATAAGGACTGATAACCTTTCTTTCATAAAGAACCTTAGTGAACCAGTTGAATTTTCAATCATCCAGCAATTTTCATGCTTATTACATCTGTCGTAAATGTGGAATGCCAGAGGTACTGAATTCAGTCAGGATTTGATCAATGGTATGGTTTAAATCAAACAAATAATTCCTAAAATAATCTAATGGAGCCCTTGATTTTAGACTAAGCATAATAATGTAAGTCTTAAACAAAAACAGAAATTGCTGGAGAAACTGAACAGGTCTGGCAGCATCTGTGGAGGTAAAGCAGAGCTAACGTTTCAGTTAAGTGAACCCAGTTCTGAAGAAGGATCACCGGACCTGAAACGTTAACTCTGCTTTCTTACCACAGATAATTCCAGACCTGCTGAGATTATCCAGCAATTTCTATTTTGGTTTCAAATTTCCAACATCTAGAGTTCTTTGTTTCAATAATTAAAGGGCAATTGTATATTATAAGTAGATGTCATTCGTAATTTAAAGAGATAACCGAAATTTGTGATTTCTACTTTGCAATCATCAATATTTATTTTCAATAAGAAGATCAGCTAGATAGTGCACAGATAACTGAATATGCGAAGTCCTTTTAGTCTGTATCTCAGTCTATCTGTCTTGTTAAACCAGAAACTTGTAGCTTCCTGGTGCGCAGATATGGCTATGACATAATCATTTTTGCAGCACAGCTGAGAACCAGCTAAGCTCCAGTTGGGATTGTTTTTGAATGGGTGGCTGTGGTTTTTTTTTAGGATTTCTGTTCCAGCTGGAATTTAACCTTTCTGGAATTGAAATGGAAAATTAATACGTGAGCCATAAAATATTTCCAATATTTTTATTATGGGACTTTAAAGGAGAGTGGAGAACATGCTTAGAAAATCGTGATGTGATTAATTAGGGTGAACATTGATTTGTGGAAAGGAAATAGTATTTCATTTATTTCACTCTTTTGAGAAAGTAGCAAACAAGGATGAAGGAGAACCTGTAGACATGAATACTTGGTTTTCTTAAAGTTGGTTGATAAGAATCTACATCAAAGTTTCCTTTGTAAACTCTGAAGTGAGAATGTTTGCTGATGATTACAAAGTTTCAGTTCATTTCACAATTTCTCAGATGAAACAGTCTATGCCAGCATGCAGCAAGACTTCAGCTGATAAATGGCAAATAACATCAGCCATATTGGTACCAGGGAATGACCATCTCCAACAGTGATTATCTAACAATTTTCCCTGGGCATTCAACAAAATTGCTATTGCTTGCCAAATGACATTATCTGGCAATGCCTAAACCAAATCACGTTAGGAGCAATCAGTTGAAGATCATTAGTTAACAGTGTTGGTCCAATGGTGCGATGTGGTTGAGTTGGGCATGACAATTACATGAAACAATTATTTATAAGTGTTGGAAGTTCTACATACACACGACTTTTCGTAAACCACCAGACTTCATGTAGTATTGTTCATGATGAATCAAATTTTCTGCAGATTGTTAGGCTTGATAATGCACAATATTTTTATTAAGGCCAAAGACTGTTGTATGTTTAGCTAAATAGAGTGTGCATCTTCCCATATGATGGATTTGCTGCCACCAACATCTTTAAGTGTAGGGATCTATAGAAGGTGGTAAGTCTTGCATGAGAGAAAAGCAAACTTCCTTGTCTCACTTGAAGAAGCTCCTATATATTAGTAACTAGTCCCTGTTTACATTGAGGTGGTAGACATTGTTTCTATGATGGTTTAGAGTATAACTGTTTGTAGACTTGGATTCTAAAGTAGAGGTAAATGGGTTTTTGGTTATAGTTCTGTGAAGTTGACTTTTTCTAAAAAGATCAGACAGTAATTTTTAACAGTGCGTTCAAATAAGTATTTCCAAGAAAGCATGTAGCTTAAGCTAAATGAGCAATCAAAGCAACTTGTGAGACAATTATTGAAGTGCTTCCAAAGTTGAAATTTAATGACCCACTGAAAGAGAGACTGAAGCCACATGCATGTTTGGTTCAGAACACAGAAGAGATCAATCTCAACTGAAAGGTGGTTTTAAGTGAAATGGAATGACGTCCTGAGCTTTTTGGCCATCCAAGTAGGCAGGACGAGGGAAGCCGTAAGCTTTTAGAGTTCACTCAGAAAAGTCAATGAGCTAGTGTGTGTCTCTGACACAGATAGAAGAAATCACATCCAGTGAATGCACACAAAGTAGTCAAAGGGGGATACCTGTCAGTTGGGTAAAAAATTTTAAAGTGAAGACAGAAGTAAAGGATATTTCTGGGGGAAAGGGTTTAATCTTTTTGTTGTTTATATATATATATATATACACACAAAGATAATAATAAATTTGTGCTCTTTGGTTAAAAGTACATTGGCAACCTTTTGTGGAAATATTCAGTTGACTAATGGCCATGGTAACTGATCTACAAAAACAAACTGCAAAAAAAACTGTCCAGTATTACCGTCAACTAGGATCTTAACATTGTTTGGAGACAGTGAGGCGGACCTGGATAAAAGGTCGTACTGCTTTATCCATGTAAGCTGGTCAACCCACAAATCCACTGGACACAATCACAGTGGGTGTTGTTTGTTACACTCCTCAGTATTAATCTTTTCAGACCCATATATAGCACTGACCTCCAATGACTGAACAAATCATATTCAGTCTGTCAAATCAATGAAATGTAATAGATAAAATACTTCAGGAAGTGAGAGAGTGCATAATGCAACTTTTAAAATGTTACCTATGAAAGATTATCTCCGCAGTAACAAAGATTTTGAGCACTGGCTAAACAGAATTTGTATGAGAAATGCATCCGACGATGCCAAGAGTTTGCTTTTTACTACTAATTTGTGAAATGCTGTAAAGTTTTGAGGTGGACCTCAAATAATGAAAGCATGCCTATTGTGTAAAAAGGAGCTGTTCAAGAATTCATGAATTCCCACTTGTTCCTTCAAAATACTTCAACTTGCACTTCCTGCTCACACTCTGCATGTCTCACTAAAGATGCTTCACACTGATTGGTTGAGGGGTTACATAGCTTCTTACCCTGTTAACAGAGATCCGAGATCCCCTCTCACAAACGGGCTGCACCAAAATGGCTGTCAAAGTTTTGCAAGTTCCTCTGCAAAATTCCACAAAAGTTTTTAGGGCAAGTTAGTAGTGAATGTCTAATGCCATTTGTTCATCATTGACCATATTGTACAGGCCATTGTCAACTTGCTTTAACTTGTATTCCAGCTGGCAGCACCACTGACCTATCTGATCAGAGGTCTCGCAGCAACAGCACTGAGGGATCAGACACTTCAACTCCAAAAGCAATCAGTGACCTAGCAGTCCGCAGAGCTCGGCACAGGCTAATGTCTGGGGAATCGACTGAGAAACGCAGCTCTAGGCCAGTTAATAAAGTGATCAAATCAGCCTCTGCAACTGCCTTGTCCCTTATGATCCCTTCAGGTAAGGATTAAAGCTGGACCTCTGCAGTTTTTTGGACAATTTAATGAATTTGGAGGCTGCAGTTCGGAGCCTAATCTTTCATTAGCACAGATTTATTTGCTTTCAGGAAACCGGTTAAAGCAAATGTTGAACACTGTTGCATTGATATAGCATTAGAACTGTGCTTAGATTTTTAAATTATGTACCAGAATTGGAGGGAAATCTGAGGGCTAATAAGCGTAAGTGAATTTAAAAGCAATCAATACATGCCAATGAAAATGACTAGAGAAACTTAAGTTGTTAAAAGTGAACAGATCCCTAGGACCTTGTGGGCCAGATTCCAGCAACTCAGGACACTTAAAATAATACTTAATAAAGCAGGGCAACAACTTTACAAGATTACTACAGGCCTTGCTTCTTGCTTCGGCTTAGGCCACGCAGTCGACACTTAGTTGTCCGTCTCTCCCTAACACCTCTCATCTGCTTCCAACTGGACAAACTTCAGTGTCAAACTTGCTGCATGCACATTGATCACTAAAAGCTAGTGCTTGTTAATTCTTTCTAAACCTCAACTGACAGAATAATCAATGACATTATTACTTTTAATACTGGCCCAGGCAAGGCTTATTTATAATTTGTGCAGGGGGTTCAATACTAACCTGTGATTGGCCCTTAAGAGTGATGGATATTGAATGCTATCATTTTCCACTGTCCCTTGATTGGTACCTTAAAATGTCAATTATCCATAGGATGATCCTCTTCATTATGATCATAACCTCATGATTGATGTTCTGAGCCCATTGTTTCAGTTTTTGCTAAAATTTAAAGAGTCCCTCATTAAATCCAACACCCATCAGTGACTACTTATTTTTGAATGCCAACTTGCTCAAAAATATGCTTTTACTAGTAGCTGTTCAGGCTTGGAGCAAGTTACTTTACTTTTAAAACAATGAATATAGCATAAAACCTGCTTATAAACCCAAAACTATAGGAAGCTGACACAGAAGGCCACAAAGCATTAAAGCAATAAATTACAAAGTAGGTTGTGTAACTTTTATAAAGTGTCAATAAAGTTTAAATGCATAATAAACAGTGTATAAAAGATGTACATTCAGTGACTATTTAGTCTTTAGTAATCAAACTTTAAAGAACTGTATGGCCGTAAACTTAAACATACATTGTTACAAAATTACATCTAATAAGAAAAGTTATATTTAGCCAAATATAATTGCTTCTGTTTCTAAAATGTGTGAATTAAAACAAGGTTAATGTAGAACACAGCTACAATTTCCTTTCTATTCCTCCCTTCCCATAGTAAAGCACCTTTGTTGTTAGCACTAGAGCCTTCTGATCAGGATTTAACAAGTTGAGAAGATGTGAGCATATTAAGCATTCAAGATTACACGTTTTTGCAACCTGGCTGTGTAAGATGAAATCAAAGTAAACAGGGGACGCTTGCCATTTACACCATACTTAATTCATTAGTGTGTTACCTTCATTCTGATCAAAATCCTATGATGCACATCATATTGAAATGATATAATGCAGAGTCATGTTATATTAAAGTACTAAAGTCTATATAGGCAGAATAATATAATGCTAGGTTAATCAATAAATACACTGGATTGCATGGCTATAACTAAATTAAACCAATAGAACATAGAACATTACAGCACAGTACAGGCCCTTCGGCCCTCGATGTTGCGCCAACCTGTGAAACCAATCTGAAGCCCATCTAACCTAAACTATTCCATTATCATCCATATGTTTATCCAATGACCATTTAAATGCCCTTAAAGTTGGCGAGTCTACTATTTTTGCAGGCAGGGCATTCCACGCCCTTACTACTCTCTGAGTAAAGAACCTACCTCTGACATCTGTCCTATATCTATCACCCCTCAATTTAAAGCTATGTCCCCTCGTGCTAGCCATCACCATCCGAGGAAAAAGGCTCCCACTGTCCACCCTATCTAATCCTCTGATCATCTTGTATGTCTCTATCAAGTCACCTCTTAACCTTCTTCTCTCCAACGAAAACAACCTCAAGACCCTCAGCCTTTCCTCATAAGACCTTCCCTCCATATAGTGAAACTCAATCTCTCTATTAGTCATGCACCAGTTGTGATTTTCCAAAATTTCATATAGTCTACTAAAATCCCGCTAGACTGAAAGTTAGCAAATGTAACATTGCTTTCAAGAAAAGAGATAGAAATAGGAAGCAGCGTTTCTGTTAGCCTGACATCTGGCATCAAGAAATACTTGAATCTATTCTGGTGGAGTCTTAACAATGTGTTTGATAACCTTTAGTGGGATCATGCAAAAGTCAATATGGTTTCCAAAAATAAAATTGTACATGAAAAATTCATTAGCATTTTTTTGAGAATGTAACTGTAAGGGTAGACAAATAGGCCATTTACCCATTGGAGTGCTTTACCATTCGATTGGCTGTGATGATAAATGGAGCATTTTGAAGTTAGTAGGCTGTGACTTGTGGAGTGCAACAGGAATCTTTGCTGGTATTTCAGATTTGTCCAGTCTATATTAATGATGGGCAAAGAGACCAATGGTAATGTGTCCAAGTTTGTTGTTGATCCAAATCTAGTTGGGAAAATAAACTGGAAGGAACCAATGAGTCTGCAAAGCAATAGAGACAGTTTTAGTGAGCAACAAGATGACAGATGCCATATATTATATGGACATAAGAGATTTTTCACTTCAGTAGTCAGAATAGAAATGCAGAATATTTTTCAAAAGTTTGAAATTTTAAATGTGATGTTCAGAGAGACTTGGGTGTATTGTACAAAGTACACAAAAAATTAACATGTGGGTACAGAAAGCAATAAGAAAGGCAATTGGCATATCAATGTTTATTTTAAAGAGACTGGAATACAAGAATAAGTAAGTTTTCTCAGACTTTTGTGAGCCCACACCTGGACACTAGGTGTACTTGCATCTCTATAGTTAAAGAAGGATATATTCACCTTGGGCTTATGCAGCGAAGGTTCACTGCATTGGTCATAATGATGAGAGGCTGAGCAATTTAGGACACAGTCTAAGAGTAAGGGTTGATTATTTAAGACTGAAATGAAGAGAAATTTCTTCACACAGCAAGTTGTGAATCTTTAGAAATCTCTTCCTAAGAATTCAGCTGGTCCACTCTAGTATATGTTCAAGGTCAGGTTGGACAGATTTTGAACTTTCAGACTCAAGCTATAAAGGAAGCAGTTTGGAAAGTGGAGTTGAAGCCAAAGGTCAATGATGATGGTACTGAATAACAGAGAATTCCTAATTCTGATATCCTTGTTGCGGTTTGGGAATAATTTTAGACATATAGAGTAACAAAATGCTGAATAATACTTTTCTGTTGCGAGCATTTAACAAGCACAACAGACTGCGAAACTCATCCATAAATGCCTAAAAGGTTGAATGAAACTGAACAGAAATCATGATCAAAGTCCTCCTTAATTTCCTTGTTAAGTTAATTTTCTTCAGTGAAACATTTGAATATCTTGTGATCATTTGCTTTAACTTAGCAAGGGGTAATAACAGTGGACAATTAATATGGATTGATCCAACTAGGTTTGAATGATGAACATAAAGATCTCAACAAAAGTAAGATTTGAAAATAGTACAAACATTTAACATGTCCTGCTATTGAAATAATATCTGATTAACATAGTTCCCTCATTTAATAAAGTAGGCTGGGGTGAAGCCAACTGTTGTCCTGTACTCCAGCAAAGCACTAGTAACAGATCCTATTTGTAATAGTGGACAATTTTATACTATTTCAGAGCAATTTCTGTAACTTCTTAAACTAGTTGAAATGCATATTTAAGGAAGTCACTTCTAGATATGGATCAACAGAAAATCTCCATGTAGTGCTGGATAAAATGGATGGACTAATTAGTTAACTAGCCAAAAGCAGAATATTATTTTTGGTAATTAAACTATGGGAAGTAGCCTTATTGAATGACTGCTTTTCTATACTCTATTTACTTAGACCACCATACTGGTTCTCCCTTAGCCAGCCCTATGTCACCACGCTCTTTGTCGTCTAATCCATCCTCACGGGATTCCTCACCAAACCGTGATTTTTTTCCTGCCGTGAGCAATCTGAAGCCTCCAATCATTATCCACAGAGCTGGAAAAAAATATGGCTTTACCCTTCGAGCTATTCGAGTGTATATGGGAGAGAGTGATGTCTTTACAGTTCACCATATGGTTTGGGTAAGCAGATTTACTTTGTTTCTCTGCAAATAACAATGACATTTCTTTTATAAATTAGAACAGCTTTCTTTGCTGAACTGTTAACTTCTTTTGTATTGCAGCATGTCGAAGGAGACGGACCTGCTCATGAAGCTGGCCTGCAAGCAGGGGACCTGATAACTCATGTCAATGGGGAGCCTGTCCATGGCCTAGTTCACACAGAAGTGGTCGAACTCATATTAAAGGTAGTATTCATTTCCTTCCATAGGAAATGTCTGATGTAAAAGTTAATAGACTATGTTTCGTTTCCAACTCTGGTTAGTGTGAACAGCGTCATTCATGCAAGTAACCTATTTTCTGTACTGTGTTTGCTGCAGAGGGTGCACACACAGCTCATGTGATTACACCATATTGTTAATGCAATAGCCACTTGCTAAACACCACAACTATTCTCAAAAGACATCACTGCCAAAGGCATTGAGACCCACTGACTGTTTAAAATCCATAAGTGTATATGTAATATTAAAAATGTAAGAATTACAACGTTTAGCTGCAGGAGCTGGGATGTACCTTGTATGCACAAGGCCAGCAAACAAGACAGTGAGTGGCTAAGGGAGTGCAGAACAGCATGGGAAGAAAGAGGCAGCAATAATAGGTGCACCACTTTGAGTTCCAATTTTCAGTTGTAGTGCAGGCACAAAGTTATGACTTGAAGATCACTGACCTCCTGTTTCAGTGCATTGGCAGGAGATGTAGTGAATTTCTAGATGTTGGATGCTCAGGCTTGTTTTGTTAATTCTGAAGTCTGTGTAGCATACTGAACCAACTTATTTCTGCTTAGATTCTAAGATTGCAAATATCTTCATCTGATAGCCAAACCTAGTTAGCTGGCAGGACACTAAATCAGACACTGGCATAGGTGGCTCAGAACCGCAAACCTTCCACAGCTGGATTGGATTTCCAAACGAGTAGCTTTATCTGTGAACAAAGTGATAAAATACTATTGTTATTTATAAAAGCTTTACATTAAGCTTTAAACTGTATGCATTATAATTTAAAATCTGTCCAGTTAAAATATTTATATTTTCTTTGTTTAAGATTACAAAAGTCAAAATGTATTTAAAATATTTATAAATCCAGTAGGAAGAGGAGGCAGATCCCAATACATGAATGCAAAAGTCGAGGCTGAAGCATTTATATTCTCATTCAGGCACAAATACTGAACAGATAGTCCATCTCTGCCTCCATAGGCCCTTCATTCAAAGTTGGCAATTAGGTTCTCTTCACATGATGTCAAGAAGTAACTGGATACTGTATACTGCCAAGGCTATGGGTCTTGACAACATTCCTCATGTAATGTTAAGTACTGGTGCTTCAGAATTGGATATCATCCTAGCCAAGTTGCTGTAGTACAGCTACATAACTACAGGAATGGGAAGACTGCACAAGTATGTCCTATACACAAAAGTAGGGCAAATATAATCCAACCAATTGCTGTTTCATCATTGTACTGTTAATTATCAGCAAAGTCATGACATTGGCAGTGCTATCAGTGGAACTTACTCAGCACCACTGAGCTGATCACTTTGGGTTTTGAGAGGGCCACTCAGTTCCAGACCTCCTTATTACCCTTGCTCCAATATGGTCAGAAAAGCTGAACTCCAGCAGTATGGTGTGACCGACCGTCATTGACACCAAGGTAACATTTGTCTGATTGTGGCATCAAGGAATCCTAGTAAAATTGATATCAGTGGGAATTGGGGTAAAGTTCTGCACTGGCTAGACTCCTACCTAGAGCAAAAGAAAGTAGCTGTAGTTAGTTGGTGAAAGCTAACCATTTTATCCATTTATCCAGTTCCTAATGGCTCTGTCTTTGGTGCAGCCTTCTTCTGTGGCTTCATCAATGATGTTCCCTCCTTCATAAAGTCAGAAACAGGAATGTTTTCTGACATTTGCATAGTATTCAGTCACATTTACAACTCCTATAATACAGAAACTGTCTATCACCATTTGCAGCAACATCTGGCCAACATTCTGCTTTGCAGTGATGACTGGCACACAAGAGCCAGGCAATGACTATCTCCAAAGGGAGTAAATCTAACTTAATATTCAGTGGGATTATAAACATTGAATTCCCTCATGACCAACGTTCTGAGAGTCGGTCAGACCTGTCCATCATCTAAAAGATACAAGTCAGGTGTTCAATGGAATACGTTTTACTTACCTAGATAATTACAGTTCTGACCCTCAAGAATCTTGACCATATCCAGGATCATCTGCTGGATCATTCACTCCTGGCACCACCAGCACACACTGACAGTAGTGTGGACCACCAAAAGATGCACTATATATCATTAGGCCTTATTCCTTAACCAAAAACTCAACGTAACCAGGACAGCAGATTTACCACATCCCCACCGCAAGTTTCTTTCACCCACTGCAAGGCTCCAAATGTCCTCACTTGGAACTAAGTTTTCATTCCTTTGCTGTCACTAGATCAAAGGCCTAGGAATCCCTTTTTAATAACATTGTGTGTGTACCTACACTAATTGGACTACAGTGATTCAAGAAGATAGTTTACCACTGCCATCACTGGTGACGCAAATAGAGATAATCTATTATTAGACACATAGTTAGAAGGTGACCCAGACTGGGAGCTAAATATTACAGGGTATGCAACATATTCAAAGGACAGTCAAAACAGAAAAGGAGGAGTAAACCTGATCGTATAGGCTAACTCCTGGATGAAAGTAAGAGATTATCAAATAAGCCAGAATGCCATAGAGGAAGAATTCCTGGATTGTATACGGGATGGTTTTCTTGACCAACATGTGGAGGAACTAACTAGAGAGCAGGCTATCTTAGACTGAGTACTGTGTAATAAGAAGGGTATCATTGCCATTCAAGCTATGCAATGAGGATGAGCAACCATAATATGATACAATTTTTTATTAAGATGGAGAGTGAGGTAGTTGATTCAGAGACGAGGCTGCTGAATCTTAATAAAGGAAACCATGAAGATACGAGGTGTGAGTTGGCCCTCATAGATTGCGGAAAGTTACTTAAAGGGATGACAGTGGATAGGCAATGGCAAACATTCAAGGAATGCATAGCAAAACCATAGCAGGATCTTGGCAAAAATTTGTAGCTCAGTTTGTGGATGCAGATCACACGAGAGGATGATATAAATTTGGAACGGAGCAGAACACCAACGCTTTGATTAGAGGTCGCACTGATGATGTTGCCTAGAATGGTAACAAAATGTCTGCACACCACGGAACAACTGGCTCGGCGAGCTAACGAAGAACCGCAGTGGCAGGATCAGACAGAGTCAGCATGGATTTATGAAGGAAAAATCATGCTTGACAAATCTGTTGGAATTCTATGCAGATGTAACTAGTAGAGTTGACAAGGGAGAGCCAGTCAATGTGATATATTTGGACTTTCAGAAAGCATCTGGTGAAGTCCTGTATAAGAGATTATTGTGCAAGATTAAAGTGCATAGGATTGGGGGAAGTGTATTGAGATGGATAGAAAACTGGTTGGCAGAGAGGAAACAAAGAGTAATAATTAATGGGTCCTTTTCAAATTTGCAGGAAATAGTGCCACAGGGATCAGTGCTGGGACCCCAGCTATTCACAATATATATTAATGATTTGGATGAGGTAACAAAATATAACATCTCAAAGTTTGCATATGATACCAAGTTGGGTGGGAAGGGTGAACTGTGATGAGGATGCAGAGATCCTTCAGCATGATCTGGACAGATTGGGTGAGTGGGCAAATCAATGGCAGATGCAGTATAATTACAAGAAGGCAGATTACTACCTGAATGGCTGTAAATTAGGAGAGGGGAGTGTGCAGCGGGACCTGGGTGTCCTTGTGCACCAGTCGCTGAAGGTAAACATGTAGGTGCAGCAGGCGGTAAAGAAGGCAACTGGTATGTTGGCCTTCATTGTGAGAGGTTTGAGTACAGGAGCAGGGATGTGTTGTTGCAGTTGTACAGGGCATCGGTGAGGCCACACTGGAATATTGTGTGCAGTTTTGGTCTCCTTTTCTGAGGAAGGATGTTCTTGCTTTCGAGGGAGTACAGCGAAGGTTTACCAAGCTGATTCCAGGGATGGCAGGACTGATGCATGAGGAGGAATTGACTAGGTTAGGATTGTTTTCACTGAAGTTCAAACGAATGAAGGGGGGAGATCTCGTAGAGACTTATAAAATTCTAACAGGACTAGACAGGGTAGGTGCAAGAAGAATGTCCCCAATCGTAGGTGTGTCCAGAACCAGGATCACAGTATGAGGATTCGGGGTAGACAATTTAGGACAGATATGAGGAGACTTTTCTTCGCCCACAGAGTGGTGAGCCTGTGGAATTCATTATTACAGAAAATAGTTGATGCAATAACGTTGAATGTATTCAAAAGGCGGTTAGATATAGCACTTGGGGAAAATGGGATCAAAGGCTATTGTGAGAAAGCAGGATTAGGCTGTTGAGTTGGACGATCAGCCATGATCGTGATGAATAGTGAAGCAGACTCGAAGGGCCAAATGGCCTCCTCCTGCTCCTGTCTTCTATATTTCAATGTTTGGCTCAGAAGGTTAGGAAGTAAAATGGACAAGGGGGTGAAAATGTGGATGAAACTATTTTTGTCCCCTAAATTTGGTTACACTGTTGCACAATAGCATTAAGCAAGAAGTAATTGGAATAGTCACTTGGGGTTACAGAACCTGAGTATTGCTGGAAAAAAAATGGATGCCAGTCAACGCTTTTTATCTGGCACTCCTCAAAACTGACACAAGAGTCCAGAATCTCAAGGGCAACATTGTTTTGCCAAGGGTGCTGATTGGTCAACATGTTGACTATGGTCAAGACATTACCATGGAGAATGCACCCAGGTGACATTTACCCCAAAATCTTTTTTGGAATCTCAAAAAAGGCAAGTTGTTTGCCTCTGGCCCTGATGTGCCATGGGAACTTGCCATTTAAATGGACTGCTTTGCCCTTGATGGTATTGTTAAAGCTGCATTCATCTGGGCTAAGGAGATATCGCATCACACTTGGATTTGTGCCTTGTTGTAGGTGATGAAGAGTCAGGAGCTAAGTTACACGCCATTGAATTCTCTGTCATTGCATTGATATGGCCGGTTCAGTTAAGTTTTTTTGTCAATGGTGACCCTCAGATATTAATGATGAGGAGTAGAGTCGAAATGGTGCATGAAGTTGCCTAAATATTTGCTGAATATATGAAGCAAATAAATGATTTTTTTTTGCAATTAATATCTGTTCATAGAGTGGAAACAAGGTTTCAATATCGACAACTCCTCTTGAGAATACTTCAATCAAAATTGGGCCAGCTCGGAGATCTAACTACAAGTCAAAGATGGCAAGGAGGAATAAGAAGGGTAAAACTAAAGATGGCCAAGAAAGGTACTTTTCAGCAGAAATTACAGAATAACACCAGTTTTTCCCATTTAATTTTACACTTTTAGGACTCACTGTTGAAATGAGCCAACAGGCTTTAAATCTTTACAGTAATGAGTTGTTTAAGAATTATTGATGAGTAACTAGCTTTTATTTTGTTCAGCAGCCATTTTCTTTTTCATAGGATCTAGGAAATATAACCATTGAATTTTAAATGAGAATAATTATTGTCTGTTTGCTTTCATTTTGCTGCTGCTCAGTATCAGTAAGCAACTGAGCAGGAAGCCACAGTAGTGAGGATACAACTCCTGCCTTTGCTGTGATAATTCCTACATGACTGCTTTGCAGTGTCAATTTGAAGTAAGATTGCATAGCCTTACACTTACTAAAACATAATGCAAAGTAAAACATGGTTCTCTATTTTAATTTTTGTCTCTAATTTCAGCCGCAAGAGCTTTCTAGCACCATTACAATCGGATAAAAACTGGAAAAAATAAATTATTGCAAAGCATACATGTCAGCACACCTTATATATAGTTTTCCAGTTTTTCTAGTGTCAGGTGGTCCTTAACTGCTTAATTACAATTGTTGATATCACTGCAAGTTGTCCATTCTTCTGAATGTATGATTTGGTCTCTTGGCTAACTTTTGTCATTCCTTTTCATGGCCAGTTCAGAGTGTTATACTACAGAAAGCTAACTTACAGAGTGGCCAGTGCACACACTGTCACTGAATGATGTCTTTACATTGCTTAGTACCTGAAGTGACAGGCGATATAATTTTCTCTGAATCCATTTTGTGCTTTGCTTTATTGGTGGAAACATTGATTCACCTTGACTTTTTAAAGCACATCAGGCTTTTAATTCTATTATGTTCAATTTATTACTTCTACTTTTTAATTTGCAGTAAGAAAAGAAGCTCACTCTTCCGAAAGGTTACAAAGCAAGCAACATTGCTACATACAAGTCGGAGTTTGTCCTCCCTGAATCGATCGCTTTCATCTGGAGAAAGTGTGCCAGGTTCACCAACCCACAACCTTTCCCCTCGCTCACCAACCCAGAGTTATAGGTCCACACCAGATTCTGTACACTCAGGTAGATACCATTTCTGCATTGAAGTAATAGTCTTATTCATATTGTGGAGATGCTGAAGATGGAGTCAGGTGGCCCTTAACTGCTTAATTACAGGAAAATGTTCCAAAACATTTCAGTAGGAATTGTTTTTACAGCTCGCATATTATTTTCACTGCTTGTATTTAAAATTCTAGAACTTCACCAGTTAATCTTTGGGATTTCTTTTATTTATTGATACGGGTGTCATTTGTTACAGCCCATCCCTAAATGTTCCAGAGGAGGTGGTGGTCACTTGCTTTCTTGAACTGCTGCAGGCCTTGGGCTGTAGGGGCGTTCACAGTGCTGTTAAGAAGGGAGTTCCAGAATTAGGAAATAACATTAGAAAATAGGATAGTTTCAGGACACAGTATGACAGTGCTATACACTATGCCAGGCTGCTGTGATGGGTGTTTACTGATCTGTTGTCTTTCCTTTAGTACTTCTCCCTTTCATCTCTTGATTTTAAATCAGAAAATCTACGATAACAGAATGACCTTTTTGAAAATAAGTGACAATGTAAACAGTACTCAAGATCAGTGGAGCAATTGGCAATCTGGTCAATACGATAAACTCAAATGTCTATATTTTCTACACTTAAACTAAATATTTATAAAATTCTTGATATCAAAAAAGTAGATGAACGATGATGGTGAGATTTTATAATTCTCTATATGATTCTCAAATTATAACACTTAGTGTTGGATACCCAATATACTTGTCATAAAAAGTTAGTCTGTCCATTCCAGCATAAGTGCAATTTTAAGAGAGTGATAAGTCTTAATTACTTAAAAACAAACTTTGTTGGATTGAAAATTTGTACCTAGAAAGTGGAGCCTCGTCACTTCAGATCTAAAACATTGTCAATTTTTTAAACTTTTGTTTTCCATCAATTTTAACTCTAACTTAATCTCAAGATTATCTTCCCCTATTTTGCTTTGTGTCAGTGACTCAGTGTTGTATTGAATATTCCATGGATTTTATAATTATGGTGGGGGCGTAAATGTCAGCATTCACTGTCGTTATTCTGTGAAATTGTCATTCTGGTGTCTGTACATACTCTCTTAAATGCAGCAATCTAGAAGCTGCTGTTAGTGATTCTTTAGTCCTCTACATGGTCCATTATTGAGGTCTCCATCAATGATATTAAAACAGAAATCAGTTTAGTGCCATGATTCTGGGATAACTTACCACCTTCAAACTAAAAACACTCGAAAACCTCAACTGCTGTGAGAAAGTACAAACAATCTGTATGCCATTCATTCATTCAGTTGCACAAGATGATTTTGAATTTGAAGAAACTTATCCAGAGCATATTTCATGTTTGGTATTGTCCACTAGCAAGATGCTGCTGTCCAAAAAGAAATTCTGCATTCCACACAGATAAGTAATATGGTATATGAGTTTCTGTGATGATGTGGTGCCAAGTACATAGGCTGTACATCTCACGACTGGCAAACAATATCAAATAACACACCCCTTTTGGCTATCCGCAAGAAGCAGCATTTTGACTGTGCTGAACTCAATTTGTGCTTGCAAAACTCACCACACATCTTTCCCTATAACGCTGGATTGACCTATTGATTGAAAAAACCTGTCTGTCTCAACTTTGAATGTACTTAGCAATCCATTCTGAACAGCCCTCTGGTGAAGAATTCCATGGATTTACTACCCTCTGAGAGAAGAAATTCCTCCTCATCTCTGTCTTAAATCTGTGACCCCCTTGTTATGATATTATGCCCTCTGGTCCTAGATTCTCCTGTCAAGTCCAGTAAGAATCTTATATGTTTCATTAAGGTTGCCGTCTAAATTCCAGTGAGTAAATGCTCAACCTGTTTTCATAAGACAGTCCCTTCATACCAGTATCAACTTAATGAACCTTCTGTGAACTGCCTCCAATTTTTTAGATAAGGGGCCAAAATTTTGTTCATAGTATTCCATCTGTGGTTTGACTAGTGCCTTGTATAGTTTTAGGAAATGCCCCTTCTTTTATACTCCATTCCCGTTGAGATAAAGGCAACATTCCATTTGCTTTCCCAATTACCCACTGAACTTGGATACGAGCTTTCTGTGATTCATGCACAAGGACTCCCAAATCAGTTCTTATCTTCTTCCTGTCAAGTTTCAAAGTTTGGTTTCTTAGGTTCCAGTCCTAATGGGGGCAAGATGACAACCATTTAACTTGGAGTCTCTTTTTAACAACATTTAAATCCTGTACTACCAACCAATTTACTGTCAATATAGCTTGGAACTACTGAGACAGAATATGTAAGATTTTGGTGCGTACTTTAATATTTCAATATAAGATCTGAATCAATTAAAATTATAGGCGCTCTCAAATTCAGTCTATCTAAAAGTTACAAGACTCTTTCCAGGTAAAAACAAAGTTTTTACATAACTTATCAAATTTACCATACCAAGTACAAAAGAAATGAAGTTGAATGAAGCAGTGGTTTTACAGTCAATCCACTTCAAAATCCAAGCTTATGCCACTATTGACTAGGCACAGGTCTCTTCGAGTCATAGAGATGTGGAGCACGGAAACAGACCCTTTGGTTCAACTTGTCCATGCCGACCAGGTATCCTATATAAATCTAGTCCCATTTACCAGTATTTGGCCCATATCTGTCCACACCCTTCCTATTTATGTACCCAGCCAGATGCCTTTTAAATATTGTAATTGTACCAGCTTCCACCACTTCCTTTGGCAGCTTATTCCATACACGGACCACCCTCTGCATGAAAATGTTGCCCATTAGGTCCCTTTTATTTCTTTCCCCTCTCACCTTAAACCTATGCCGTCTAGTTTTGGACTCCCCCCAACCCGGGGAAAAGACCTTGCCTATTTACCCTATTGATTTTATAATTCTCTATAAGGTCACCCCTCAGCCTTCTGCACTCCAGAGAAAATAGCCCCAGCCTATTCAGCCTCTCCCTATAGCTTAAACCCTCCAACCCAGGAACATCCTCATAAATCATTTCTGAACCCTTTCTAGTTTCAGAACGTCCTTCCTGTAGCAGGGAGACCAGAATTGCACACAGTATTCCAAAAGTGGCCGAATCAATGACCTATACAGCTGCAACATGACCTCCCAAATCCTATACTCAATGCACTGACCGATAAAGGCAAGCGTACCAAACACCTTCACTATCCTGTCCACCTGCAACTCTACTTCCAAGGAGCTATGAACCTGCACCCCAAGATCTCCTAGTTCAGCATTCAAGTGTATAAGCGCTCCTCAGATTTGCCTTTCCAAAATGCAGTACCTCACATTTATCTAAATTAAACTCCATCTGCCATTCCTCAACCCAGATCCCATTGTACTCTGAGGTAACCTTTGTTCTGGTTTGATGACTACTTGTAACGAAAGCACTCCAACCTGGCCCTTATTAACCCTTGCTAGAAGTATTCCTGTGCATGATCAAAGGCATCCTGAATCCTAATTCACTTACTCGTGCACGAACAGGTCATAGCCACTCTTGAATTGGTTAGGTAGTGTATGCCCAGTTTCTGATATGTTTCTTTAAAAGTATGTGCCATTTAGCTGACGTCACTTCCAACAGTCTCCTGATTCATTCTTTGACAAGCCATTTTGTAAGATCACCTCTTTTGTAATAGTTTGTCAACTTAGTTTACCATCTACAAAGATCTTTACCAGAGAAGATGATACAAGTGAGCGATTTATGTATCTGCTTACAAGATACAGTTGTCACCACAGAATGTTTAACTATCATTCTAACTGATACGTCTAAAAATAAAACAAAACAACTACAAAACTCAGTACAGAACCTAATTCCAAACTAATTAAATTATATACGTATAAAAATACCCATAGACATAGTAAGAACTGCCAATGCTGGAGTCAGAGATAACACAGTGTGGAGCTGGAGGAGCACAGCAGATATATACGAATAGCCCTGTTACATACTTTGTTACCAAACTAAGTCATTTTGAAACATAGCTTTGTCTTTGACAATAATTAAGTGCACAAAAACTAGTTCTTCAGAATTAGGAATGTGTTCGTTAATCATTTCACTCCTTTTTCACTCAATGATGATAAAAACATATTGATGAAAAGCAAATAGGTGACTTTGAATACCTGATAAGCCAAAAGTCATAACACCCCTGACTTTGCACTTATTTAAAACCTGTTAGATCTCCAACTCTTTCCACTTATAATGAAAGATTGTCAATAGGAAATGTACACAATGGCTCTCTTTCCACAAATGCTACCAGAACTACTTCTCATTTGGATTATATAGCATGAAACAAAAAAAAAGGTTATTAAATCCAACATGTTCCCAATTTAGAGTACAGTAGTATAAAGAAAATGCACTGTTAGAGAGCTGGATTACACCAACCCTGAAGAAATTACACAACTCAGGAGATATCAGCAAGACAGACTACAAAAATATGAAGCCAGAAGGATCCAGCACATCCCAATTAAATGGACTGTCTAAGATATACAAACCAGGGGTCCTCCTCAGATCTATTGTCTCACTACCAGGCACGCCAACATATAGACTAGCCAAAGAACTACAATGGAAACTGAAATACTTAGTTGACAACACCACCAACTCCATCGACTCATACACCCATATATACCCAATATATTGTGGCCAGACAATTATGAATATGTTAATAAAAATTATGCAAACAATACATTTACTGGATCACTCACTTGTCTCTCACATTAGTAATTGGGTGACGGTAGAGTGATGAAATAACGAAGACAGAATTATCCAAACAGCAATTTTTAATTCCTTCTATGCCTATGATTGGGAACAATGAAGAAATTAATTTATATTTATTTATTATTAATTGGAGACAAATAACTAGCTTTACAGGTTTTTTTTATTATTGTATGGTTATTTTTAGCAGTTTTCATCTCATGAATATCATTTGGATATGATCTTTAAGTTATTGTCTTCTTGTTGAATAATAATCCCATGTTTTGCTTTCTGTCGTTCTAGTTGGTGGTAATTCTTCACAGAGCAGTTCTCCAAGCTCCAGTGTGCCAAATTCTCCAGCCAGTTCTGGTCACATTCGTCCGAGCTCCCTCCAAGGATTGGCTCCCAAACTTCAGCGACAGTATAGGTCACCCAGACGCAAGTCTGCAGGGAATATCCCCCTTTCTCCTCTCGCTCGCACACCATCACCCACTCCTCAGCCAACATCTCCTCAGCGATCCCCATCTCCATTGCCTTCACATTCTCTGGGCAGTTCGAATGCAGCACAATCATTTCCAGTTAAATTACACTCTTCCCCACCACTGGTGCGGCAGATCTCCAGGCCTAAGAGTGCAGAACCTCCAAGATCACCTTTATTAAAGAGGGTGCAGTCAGCTGAAAAATTGACTGCCACTCTGTCATCTGAAAAGAAGTTGTCATCTTCCCGAAAACACAGCCTGGACATTTCACACTCAGAATTTAAGAAAGAAATGCTGCAGAGAGACCCCAGTCTGCAGAGTTTACAGGAATCTGCTAATGAGACACAAGGCAGCAAACGTGGCCCTGCGGAAAAGGGGACACTAAAGCAACCTGCTGCCCGAAAAATTGGTAGGCAAGAATCATCCGAAGGAATGAGTAAGGGAAAATTGAATGACAAACTGGTAGCAATAAGACATGATAGAGCAGAAAGAAGAGAAGCATTACAAAAGCAAGATGCCATTCACGAGGTAGACATCTCTGAAGATGAAAGTGATGAAGGTTCAGAAGATAGCCAGGAAGGGAGAAAGTTGCATCGGTCTTCTGCTCAAACTGATGTTTCAAATTTACTTGAAACGTGTTATAATTCACGTAAAGCAGAAAGTAGAGATTCTTCAGAGGATGATCTCAGCTCTATGTTCTTATCTGAGTCTAAAGAAATGAGAAGTTCAGCACCACATAAAATAGCAGAACACTATCAGTCAGAAGAATCTTCAACTTACACTGTATCTGGGGAAAAGGCTGTACTAGAGCACGATGTCTTGGGCGTAGAGAAGAATGGCCAGGATAAAACAGATTCCAGAGACTTGAAAATTATTGAAGTAAAACAGCCTCTAATGGATTGTGTTACCACAAAGGTTAATGATTCACCCAAAATACTTTCAATGCGAAAAGCCACGGAGGAACCATCAAACCAAGAACTCAGGAAGACAGCAGCATTCAAAATACATCAAGACATTCAAATGGATTTGTTGGAAGCTGGTATTGATAGCAGTAGCACCCCTCTCAATCAGATGGTGCATAGAAAACCTACAGAGGATGAACATTACAAACTACCGGAAACAGATGATCAACATCAGCTTTTCAAGCTGGTGTCACGTCATACCTTAGAGCATCCCCAGAGAATTGATGATCCTAAAAAGGATGCTATGCAAACTGATTGCAAGCCAAATGTTGAGGTCAAAGGCCAAATTGTGAATAAGCAAAAAGGTTCATTTGGAATTGGTGCAAAGTCTTTTCATTCAAATAATACCAAGTATCTTAAACATTCCACTGCAGAGGAAATGGAAGGAATTTCAAGCCAAAGTGAGCAAATATTAAAGGAAAGTGAGAGGCCTGACACCAAAACTCAACCTGTGATAAATATGGAAAGCACAGGTAGCTCAAAATGCTCTCCAGCTAGCTTTGTTAAAACACCTTTCGTTTCCCATTTAGCCACTGTTGCCAAAAATGTATTGGGTCCAGTGAAGTTGGCCATCCCTGGGATAACCGAGACTGAGAAGAGGAAAGAAGTAAGTTCACGTGATTTGATAGCCAGGAATGATAAAGAAGGGCCACATTTTAACACATTTAGCCCTGCTACAGTATCAAGCATCACAACACCCTTATCAAAGCCTGAAAGTTCAAAACTGAAATTCGAAGAGAAGGGCATAGTTTGTGGTTCGCTGTTAAAACCTGAGCCAGTTGTGGAAGCTTTATGTGAGCAAAAAGCAGTGCAAGATACTGCAAGAATTTCATCACCAGGAGAACAACAACAGAATGTGGAAAAGTGTGGGAGAGATCAACCTGGAAGCTGTCGTGTAAAAAGTAAAGAATCAGTAGACTGTAAGACAGGGCAGAACTTGCAGCTATCACACAAATTTGCATGTGATAATTTCAAAAAAACATAGTTGATAATTCCCAGTTTGAGGGAAGTGGGTCATCAGCATTTAACTATAAATACCTTTTTTTGGAGGTTACTTAAAGCTGCATGTTTGACTTTGTATCCATACACTATTGCAAACAAAAAAAAATCAAATATGTATGAATAGTTTAGCATTTTCTTAACACTATTTTCAGTTTTGGGGGAAAGTCCTGAGCTGCCGATCTGCTACTGTTTTATTTTTGTTTGGAAGCGAGCTGACATTTCAAACAGGGTAGCTGGCATTTTTTTCCCACTCTATTGCGAATACCATTTTGAATTTAAGTTGGACCAAGGATCCTTTTGAAAATTGCAAATTGGTGGTAGTTCCTGTGTACACTGTGATTTTGTGAGAAATGCCATAATGCACATTAATGAATACAAGACATTTAGCAGTCATATCATCTCTGTTTTCCTCATTTTCAAATTTAAGTGACTCCTATCTGCGAAATGTCTATGATGTGCATTGACAGCGGTATACGTGCAACCCAGGTTTGCCAACAAAGCCTTGCTAGAGGCTTATCGTTATTATTTACTAGATTCTTTGTTGTCATGGTGTTGCCTGAACTCTTAGCTCTGTAATGTAACTTGTCACTATGCAAGGTAATACATTCCTGCAGAGTATTTGACAGTGTACTGTATTTTGTCCTTCTTTTGTATTAATGTATCAGAGAAATGTATCTTATTTATTGTAAATATATACACGACAGTCTTGGATGTCTTTCTGGGTTTGTGCCACATAGATATTTTGTTGTCCTGGAGAAATGTTGTGAATATGTAATGGAAGTACTTTCACAAAAAAGTGAGAAGCATTTAAAAAAAAAACGTTTTAGTACTTATTTAATCAATACCGAACGTTACCATGAATTGTTGCAGTAGGGGTTTTTGTGTTGCATTATTATTGGCGTGTCGAATTTAATGTCATCCCTTTAAATATAAAGAATTTTTTTCATATTTCAAAACATGTTAAATAATACCTAGAAGACCTAAAATATTTAAGGCAGTTTGCTTCACTTTTTTTTAAAAGCTCCCATTACAATAATATAACAACTTTGCGATAGTTTTATGTAACAATTAACTGTTAGTTTTCAGCTGATGTGAAAGTTTTAATTTGGTTTCCCTTTCTCTCTTTCCTTTGTTTCTCCCCGCCAATCCTCTCCCAACCAAACCCTGCCCCTAATCATGTTCCTGTTATGATGTATTGCACTAATAGAACTCTGAGCTTCTGCTAGCCTAACAATCGTAGATTGCTTTGTTTCATTAGCAGCTACATTTTGCTAAATGTGTCAGATAGTTGAACTGAGTAAGTTAGACTGTTATCAGTTAATACTGACTGATTTTAATTGCTGTGTTTAAATTTTTAAAATAAAAAAAGGAAAAGTGCAGGTTCTAAGGACATTACAGTACTGTGGAGCTCTTGCTTTTATTCACAGTACATTTAACTTTCTGCTATAATGTTTTCACTCAAAAGTTAATGAGGAAGAATACTTGAAATAAAAGGGGTGTGTTTACTGCCGTGAAAAGGGGTATGGCATTTTTTTTTGTGTTGTCTTTCATATTTCTTAATTTGGAATGAAGGTTTGTGCTTGTTTTCTAAATGCTTTAATGCCTCACAAGACCACAGACAGTACTATGCAACACACTAGTGTTCATTATCTAGATGGCAATGTTAAAGGGTGTGCACCTGCAATTATGACAATCATAAAAAAAAGTACTTATAAATTACAGATTAATTGTGTTTAATTTGTTCTTTGATGTGGCTGTTAAGACATAATTTGCAACACTGTGACTAAGAGCTGTGATTAATTTCTAAATTGTGCATAAATGTGGTATGATTCAGTTATTTTTAAAAAGCCAGTATTCCAATTTCAACACATTATTTGCATTAAAGATACTTCTTAACAAGTAAAATTAATTTAAAATAAATTTAAATCAATTGAAATATCCTGTTCAATCTGTTACATTTTGACATAATAAGAGTTAGTTATATATCACCTCTGAGAAATGTCTGAATGCTGTTTGTACACAAGGGGTCAGTTGCGATGCCCTCAGTATGGATTCAATTCCAACAAAGGCTGAGGTTACCATGAACTATTCTCCTTCTCAGCCTTTTCCCTGGCCTAAGGCATTGTGACCCTCAGGTTAAACCACTACCAGTCGTCGCTCTCTGATGAAAGAGCAACCGTATGGTCCTATGGGTTTTACAGCAATTGACTTCCAAATGCAGATCTATGTTATAATACATAAGCATATGTGGAAAGGGCTTTTAGTCACAGAGAACACGTGTTCTTTCCATAGACTGCATGCATATCAATGTAACTCTTAAAGCCTCTGAGCATGTTGAGCTATCACAAATGAAATCTCTGAGAAGAATAAATAATGTGATCCTTTTTCTAAAACCTCCTAAAATAATCTTGTGAAATTTCATAGTAACTGTCTAATATTGCAGCTTATTTTACTCAATCTTAACCACTTTAATGATATTATTGACATTTATGCGGCCTCAGCATAGTACAGAGTCATATTTTTCGAAAATTGCCTATTGACTGATATAACATAAAATGTTTATATATGCCCTTGTTAATTAGTTACTTATCCAAGTTCTTTTTTGCTTGGGGTTAGGAAGATAAAACTATTAAAAGGGCATTATCCATACAACTTTCCATTGTACGCTGAAAACAAGTTTAATTTTCTGCATTTTTGCTTATAACTTGGTGAGATTCTTCTGGAACCTCTGAATCCTCCAATTTTTTGTCATTTTTTTTGAAGAGTGAGTTGTGAGAATTGTGCACAATATTCCCAATGACCTTTGCAATGAGTTATGTGAAAGTAAAATAGTTGCTTGCACATCTAATATGGTTCTTTACACATTGAGTTCTATGTTGAAATAGCGGCAGTGTAGTGCTTTGACCGTAAAGAGGCACATTTCAGCAGTTGGTCATTATCCAGGCCAATATTACTCCACTGGTTCAGACAAAATAAATGGTACAAGTTTACCAAATGTTCTGTAATAATAATGTGGCTGAATAGATGGGGTGTGTTTCCATACGGAGACAACAATTACGCTGCATTAGGCAAACACATTTTACAAATGTGGATTATGTGGTCTCTTAGTTTGAAGCCTCTTAGCCATGGTAATCTGTTTCTGTCTGTGCTTTAACCAATTGACCAAAACTAAAGTTACTTCACTTTGTGGTTTCTAAGAGTCATTGCCACAGATCAGGGGTTTCCCTTAAGGAGAAGATTACCCAAAGTATCCTTCAATCTCAAGGGAGAAATATTTCTTGAAAATCAAATGTTTTGGTGAATTCAAGTTGAATTGAAACTTAAGTGCTGTCTTTCTGTTAGTTTGATTGTTAATGAGTACTCCTCCACTGAGTTTGATTGTTTCTGGTTCAGAGTAATACAAAAATAAAGTCACATAGTACTTTGGTCACCAAAGTGCATTTCTTATCCTCATTGGGCAGTGTTTATATCAATAAGTCCCCTTTTTCCACTATTTTTCTTTCCCACACACACACCCTGCCTGTAACTAAACCATGGAGAATAACCTATCTACAGAATAGCCACTTATATAACAAAATGGCTTCAATCAACATGCTAAAGCACACGGGGCATTCCATAAAACTGAGACTGAAAAAAGAAGCGAAAAATACTGAAAAAAAGAAATCTGTCTAGAGGAATTCCTTTGGTCAAGGAAATATAGTCAATCCGTGTTGATGGATTGTAAAGACACTATTGAATGCAGGCTCTATATTAAGACTTCTGTTGGTACACTCGTGCAACGTTTGTTCTAATTCCAAGATGACAATGGGTACTCAAAACCTTTAGTTCTGTGTATACACCTACCTAGCTGAAGTTTTCCAGATAAGAACATACTTGTTTTCTTTGATTTCTTCAGCTAGATTTTTCGGAAGCCCTGCCAACTGATCACAGCAGCCCTGCAGCTATGTAACATTCCATGGATTGTTAATTGACTGCACTTGGGACTTCAACCCTTAGTCAGGAGCAAGTCGTTCCTTGGAAATCACTGTAGCACCAATAGTGTAAGGACTGGAGCTAGAAACTCCCACAAAGGAATTTTGTTTTTTTGCCCTCTCTGCCTGCACACTTACTGGCAGGGACCTAAGATTCTGCCTCTTGTTTTGCCCAAGTTCCAACCTAAATAAACAAAAGCAAAATGCTGCAGGTATTGAAAACCTGATTGTATTAAAAATAACTGCTGGAAAAACTCAGCAGGATGGGCAACATCTTTGAAAAGAAAAACAGGTATATGTTTAAGATCAATGAACTGTGTAATTAGAACTGTTTGAGGGATTTAAGTGTAGGAAATGCATTATTGTGAATTATAATACCTGTGTAAATAAAGAAAGTATTCAATGCAAACATCTGTTGGAGGAAAGTAAGACAGTTCTGATGAAAGGTCATTGAGCTGAACATACAGGCATGGGTTAGGAGCAGTCAAAGACCATTAGGCCCACTCAAGCCTGCTCCTCCATTTAATAAAATCATGGCTGATCTGATTCGAATCTCAACTCCACTTTCCTGCCTATCCCCCTTTCTTCTCAAGAGTCTATCTACTTCTGCCTTAAAAATAGTCAAAGATTCTGTTTTTACTGCCTTTTGCAGAAGATAATTTGAAAACCTATGACTCTCTGAGAAAATCATGGCTGGATTTTTGTGGAGTTCAGGAGACTTTGTAGAACTTTGAAAAAGGTGGTTGGAAACAATTCCAGGGCCCCAGCGCCCCAGTTATTGTCACTGTGCGATAATGGCATGGGCTGGTGCAGATCGCAAACCTGGATGCTTGAACTGTCAGCCTCGATTGCAGGCAAAGGTCTGTTCTAGCCCTCTACAACTTACATGGAATCAAGCGAGGTTTCAATGAGGAATGGTAGACAGCTCCTTAAAGGTACAAAGAACAATACACTGCAGGAACAGGCCCTTCGTCCCTACAAGCCTGCGCCAACACATCTTGCCTTTCAATACTAAAACAGTCCTCACTTGCAGGATCTGTATCCCTCTATTCCCTTCCTATTCAAGTAATCATCCAAGTGCTTCTTGAATGCTGCTATTATGTCTGCTTCCCCCAACACCTCTGGCAATGTGTTGCAGGCACTCATCACCCTTTGTGTGAAAAGCTTGCCTCACACATCTCTTAAACTGTGTTGTAAACTGTAGTCTGGATGAGGGATCTTTTTGAAAGGTAATTTCAAAATGTTTAACCCATGCCCTCCGTGCTAATCTGTGACCCTCTACTCAGCTCCAATGACCCCTCTTTTCCTTCATGCCAACCAATGCCCCTGCACCCACCCTAGTGACCATTCACATCTTCTGTGCCAACTTATTGTACTTAATGTCCATTTACCCAGTTTACACATTGTACAGAAATAATAAACCAGTGTCAATGGTGAAAAAAAAACTTCCAAAATTCAGTCATTCACAACTTTGTTACAAAAGACTCTTTTACTACAGGCCTATAGAAGTGTCACTCAACCAGTCCTTTAATAGTGTATCAACCCCAGAAACTACAAGCACTTGAAACCTCTAAATCTTGTGAAAATAAACATTGAGAAAATGAGAAACAGATCTGAGATAAAAATCTGTCAATCAAGCAGTGCTTTCCTTTAAATATTCTTTCAATAAACTAATGGATGCTTATGTTCTCATCCAAGCCGAGATGACTGTTAAAAGGACTAACAATCCAGAGGTAGCAAATCTGGTCAGCTACCCGAGAGCCAAATCACATAGTTGTTGGCAGGCAGGGGGTCTTTGTCATCAATAACTGGTCCCTAGCCCATAGACCAGTCAGCTACTTGTTGGTGGCAAATCTCCATTCGTTTTCAGCCCACTGGATCAACTTGTCCGTAACTAAGCTTTCCCCATTACTTGAATCAAGAGCTTTGTAAGCAATACCTACAATGAATGTTCAGGTAACTTGCTTACAAAATGTGCAGCAATCCTTCAAAATTCATTGGCTTTTAAACCAGTATGTTTCCCACTTCATTTCCCAATCAAAATGCAGAAAATTAAAAAGGTACAACCTTTACAATGGAGGGGAACTCATGATGAAACAGCTACAGATGTTTGGGCCTCAGAAACTAATCTGACAATCTTCTGCAGTGTTATCCTGGAGCTGAGCTGATTGACCTCCAACAAGCACAAACATGTTCCTTTGTGTTAGGTATGACTCCAACCAGCAGAAAGTTTGCCTCCTGAGTCCAATTGACTCTAGCTTTGTTAAAGCCCTGATGCCATTTTCAGTCAAATGCTGTATTAATGTCAAGAGCAATCATTCTCACTTCACCTTCAGGAGTATGATCATGCCTCTGTATTCTTTTCATTCTCATGCTTACACTCTAGTTTGTTGACATGCAAACACTCTCGAACATTGTGCTTTCTCCTTGAGAGCCTTCAATACCCTAAATCACAATTGCTTCTGAAATCCTTTGGTTTGATCCATACTTAAACTTCAGAAGACATTGCTACCTGGATCAAATCAAGGTACACTTTTCTAGTCACC